CCTGAACATTCAGGCTCTGGCGTCATACAGGTCCTAATCGGCCGGTATATCAGTAAACCGTTTAAACTAACAAAACTAACGGAAAGAAATGGTGTTGGTAACACCAGAACGTACCTTTTGGGCTGGAAAGACCACCGGGCAGCTTGTTGCGCAGGCCCCTGGGTAGCGATACCTGGGTACCAAGTCGTGACCGGCAATAAGTCCTTGGTTCGGTCCAACCACTGAGTGTACTTCCTCGTGCTTATCTGATGAAGCACCCTGGATGGAAGACGCTTCATGATGGCGTGTATTTCTGGATGCGTATTAGTACAAGTCCAAGAAGTAGCAGCCACCACTCACTATTGATCGCCTCCCAGCGTTCAAACACACTGCGAGCGAGGAGGATGGATGGTACCTCCTTCGTATACTCCCAGGAATCATGGAATGGAGGGTCATTCTTCCAGTCCTTGCTTCGCCCCCCGTCTCCTTGAAGGGGAGCGATCTCCCGGTTGTAATATTCCTCGGTACTTCGACGACAGAGGCGATAGACGCGAGCGCGTCGTGCCCCTCGAGAGGAACCCAGGGCTTGCCCTGTTTCAGAGTGGCGGTATTCTTGTATTGGCGGTAGCGATCCATGCGAGAACTAAGTCAACCACCGTCTACCATTCGACACGTTCTTTATGTGTCTGAAAATTTCACGCCTTCACCCTTTTCGGGCCACCCTGTGGCCGCCTCACGGCAGCCCGTGTCCCGATACGTTCACTGCTTTCTCATGATCTTGACAGCGTGGAATCTGACCCACGGTCGGATCGCACGTCATTAGACTGTTTCCGGAAAAAGCAGTTTCCTTCTATTCGGGTTAACTACCCGATAGAATCTGACACTTCACATGTCACTTTTAGTTTTGTTCCAGTTTCGGTCATTTTTGAACCCCTGATTCCCCTTATGTCATGCATAAGCCGGCGGCCTCTCCTTCTGGAAGCCGCACCAGCGCTCCGCGCTGGTAACGGCTTCGGGTGCCGTCTCTCCGGTGATCTTATCTCATCACCTCTTCTGCATCATATGACGGCCCCTAAGGGACTCCTTTCATTCCTTTGTAGTCCTGCGACGGTTTTCCAACGCGTTCCATTGGATTGTTAGATCCGGGTACTGATATAACCCTTATCCTTCTATGTTTGCTATCGTTCTATTACAACGATAACAACAATAGCTGCTAGACTCACATCTACAGCCCTACAGGTATAAAAACCACTATTCAGCCTGATGAGATGGCCAGTACCATCGAAAGCGTCCTCTGCTCACCAAAGCGAGGGCTAACTTGCTACCGAATAGTCTCCTCTCACAGCTTTCACATCTCCACACTCGCGCTTCGCGCTCGTGTGTCGACACCACCTAACCTAACCTAACCTAACCAAGTCCTCCAGCTCCAAAGTGGTCAAGAAAAATAGCTGGTACAAAACAGACAAACCATCGCATGGCATCTGCAGCACATCATAGCCCATGTTCATTTGATCTTCATTCCACTCCATCTGTAACCTGAAACACTCTAGGTTCTCCCAAGCCAGGAAGCGGTGATTAGGATTATCTGAGGCCAGTGATGCAAGACAGTTGAAGAAATGCATGGTGTCCTTTGCTGGATGATACCAAGGAATTTTGATGCTGAGCCCCTGACTGCGGATGGAATGACTAGATAGCAGTAGCATAACAGCTGAAAATCCAGTGGTGGTGGGCATGGGACTGTTGTCATCAAGTTCTACTTGAATGTGAAGAATGTTGGTATGAATGGAATTTTTTGGAAAAGAGGTGGCCTCTTTTATGAAGGATGATTGAGTGGTGATGACAAATGTTAGGCTGACAAGCTTGTGAAGGGAAGCTAGAGGAGCCATTGCAGTGGGATTGATATAAGACAGAGTGAGATGGCGCATAGATTTGTGATCTGATAAGGAATTTAAAATTGATCTTGTCTGAGTCGGACAAGCAATGAAGACAAGAGTTTGAAGATGAGACATCATGTTCTGGATTTGGGGGAATTTGGACATATGAGGTGGAAGTATCAGGGTTTGTAGTGCTGGACAGAAGAGGCCACCAAGAAATTGAGCTAGGCAGTCATTCTGGTTATGCAGCTCTACATGATTGAGCAATGGTAGGAGGGGAACTGGAGATTTGATCCGAACACAAGATTGCAACAGGATGGTAAAAGCCCTTTTATGTTGAGATTTCAGAGCCTTTCCATCTGCACAGATGGCCCTAACCCTGCGTGCATATATAGCAAAACGGCCTAGATGAGATGAATCTAGGCTCTGCAGAATTGTCCATGTGAAGCATGAGCAACAAGATTGTGCAACCAAAAAAGACCATCACTGACCCAAAGCCATAAACCATCTGACTTTTCTTTTCTTTTTCCCCCAACAAGACGTAGAAGAGGTTCCACTGAATGCATCTGCTTCCATAGGAGCTGAAGAACAATCTCAGAGATGGTTGGAGATATTCTAGCCAATGCAGCAAAAGTTCCAAGTCTGCCAGGACCTTCTTGAATGACAGACATATAGACCATCTGAAAGATGAGAAAAACCACATCATGCAGATGAAAGATAGGATGCATGAGGAATCAGGATCATCAACAAGTGATGAGTATCAGAGTGAGGTTATATAGCAAGTCCAAAGAGATTTGACTCATACCAGTGTGATTTTCATTACATATTGTCCTAAATAAGCAAGTACTTCACTGGACAAAGTGGTCTGATCTTATGGTGCCTCAGAGCATTAAATCAACACCATATATAAGGTCATGCAAATCAGCATGCACTGAATTTACTATATGCTAATGTCTAAAAAAATATCTTGAGCACATCTTTTGTAAGGCAACATGAATAGATTATGTTTCTGCTTCCTTCGAGTCAAATGTAAACAAGTCCAGGTTAGGAGTCAGTAAGGGTATCCTCTCCTAACACAAGACAGTAACTGGACAGCTATAGATGCACCAGATATGAATCTGAATAGATTGCTACTATTTTAAAGATCAGAGAAGATGATAGGACAAGTTTCAGTATGCCAGGAAGTTTTTCAAGATGATGGACATAGGTGATTGTTTCAAATAATGAGGTATCGGAACAAGACAACTATATATGGACCAGAGATCAATGTGAGTAGGTCCCTACCATTGTAAAGGACATAGAATATGATAGCACAAGTTTCAGAGTGGTGTGATGGAGAGGACCCTCTCCTATAGCAAGAGACAGACAGCAGAGCATGTCCCTACCATTTTGAAAGTCAGGAAAGATGATGCACCAAGTTTCAGAATCCCAGGAATTTCTCCTGAGGTGATAACCTCAGATCAGCTTTGCCCATCAGGAGACCCCAGGACCAGGTGACTGTCATATCCTGTACCTCTGGATCCAGAATTCCGGATCTACTTCATTAAAGACTGGTCCTCCATCCTGCTATTCTGCCCAGTGCTCCGCCTTCATCTCTGCACTCACCCCTAACTCCTTTTAGATTAGCTATTGCTCCAGTTACCGGTTATGTCCTATTTCGCTATGCTTACTGATCCATCCATTCTTACTTCATTTCCGACTTCACTGCTTTGATCCATTACACTTAGTAATAGACTTTCCACATGCTTCGTACATAGCCCTTACCTTTGCTGACTGATTTACTTACATGATACCTACAGTATATAAACCCCTGTGATACTCCGGAACTCCTCAGTTCGAATATCATCTTAGTTCTGCTCATTCCTGCAATCTCTGGACTTGAGCCTCACCTCTTGCCCACCTCTGAGTCTTAGGGGTTAAACCTTAGGACTAATTCTCCGGTTCTACCTTAGGGTAGTCTAACCTCTGTTCTGTTTCTACTCTGGACTTCCGTAGTAGCCTTACTCCATCCCTACATAGTCTTCCAGAGTTCTGCCGAACTCCACCGACTTCTGTCCTCTGAAATTCCCTGGACTTCCGTCGGACTTCCCCTCTGTCCCCCAGAAATTAAGGGCACATACTTGGGTAAGGGGCGCAGTGCACGAGCTGAAGCTGAAGCCCTTTGAGTAACCTCCCCCTTGAGCATGACCTTAACAGTGACTCAAAATGCACCAGTGATCAAGCCAACCATGTCCCTGCCATTTGAAAGGTCAGAGAAGATAATCAACCAAGTTTCAGGATGTCTAGAATTTTTGTGAGGTGACAGATTTAGGTCACCTCCAGTCATCAGGAGGCACCAGGACTAGATCATCATAGATGGACAAGAGATCAATCCAAGTAGGTACCTACCATTTTAAGGGCCAGATAACATGACAGGACAAGTTTCAGGATGCCAGGAAATTTTCCTAAAGTATGAACCCCTCTTCTATAAGTCACTGGTACCAGCCTCTTTTGGATGCACTGGAGCATGTCCCCACCATTTTAAAAGCCAGAAAAGATGATACAACAAGTTTAAAGATGTTGGAAATGTTTCTCAAGGTGGTAGGGTGAGTAGATCCTCCTCTCCTATCATAAGAGACTGAGACTGACCTCTTCTGGATGTACAAGGGATCTAGCTGAACCTCACCATTTTAAAGGTCAGAAAAGACGACAGGACAAGTTTCAGGATGTTGGGAATTTTTCTCAAGGTTGTGAAGTTGGCGGTCCCTCTCCTATGGTAAGAGACTGCCATCAGCCTCTTCTAAATGCTTTAGGGACCAATTTGAGCATGTTCCCACTATTGTAAAAGTCATGAAAGATGAAAGTGGTAAAGTGAGGGGACCCCCTTCTATGATGAGTCACTATGACTGGATCACACTAGATGTACCAAGGACCTACCTGATCATGTCCCTGCCATTTTATAGGTCAAGAAAGATGATAGGACCAGTTTTAGAATGCCAGGAATTTTTCCCAAGGTAGTATAGTGAGTGAACCCCCCCTTCTATGATGAAGGAGTAGCATCAGCCTCTGCTGGATGCTTTGGGGATCGAGTTGAATATGTCCCTACCACTGTCAAGGCCAAGAAAGATGATAGGATAACTTTCAGAATGCCAGGAATTTTTCCAGCACTGGTGAAGTGAAGGGACCCCCTCCTATGATGAGTCACTAGGACTAGCCAGGCTGCACTTATGGATGTTGTCATGCTTCCACCATTATAAATATCAGAGAAGACAATACACCTAGTTTCAGGATGTCTAAAATTTTTTGTGAGGTGAGATCCTCAAATCATCTTCATCCATCAGGAGACACCAGGACCAGGTGACATAAAATGGACCAGTTATCAGGCGGATCATGTCCCCACTACTGGAAAGGCCAGAGAGTATGATGGGCTAGGTTTCAGGATCTCAAGAATTTCTTTGTGGGGTGATAGACTGAGTTCATCTCCACCCACCAGGGAACACCAGAACCAGATCACTCTGGATGCACCAGTGACCAAGCCAATGATGTCCCCACTATTTTGAAGGTCAGAGAAGACAATACACCAAGTTTCAGGATGTCTAGGATTTTTTGTGAGGTGATAGCCTCAGATCACCTTGTCCCATTAGGAGACCCCAGAACCAAGTGACTCACAATGCACCAGTGATCAAGCAAACCATGTGCTGACTATTGGAAGGGCCAGAAAAGATAATACACCAAGTTTCAGGATGTCTAGAATTTGTTGTGAGGCGATAGCTCCAGATCACCTTGACCCACCAGGAGACACTAAACCAATCATGCTGATCATGTCCCTATCATTTTTAAGGCCAGAAAACATGATAGGCTAGGTTTCAGGATGTCTAGATTTGTTTGTGGGGTGATATACTCCATTCATCTCCACCGACCAGGAATACCAGAGCCAGATCACTCTGGATGTACCAGTGACCAAGCTGACCAATCCCCACCATTCTAAAGGTCAGAGAAGATAATACACCAAGTTTCAGAATGTCTAGAATATTTTGTGAGCTGATAGACTTAGGTCACCTCCAGTCATCAGGAGGCACCAGGACTTGATCATCCAGTAACCAAGCTGTTTATTTTGCCACCATTATAAAGGTCAGAGAAGATGATAGGCTAGGTTTCAAAATGTCTAGAAGTTCTTGTGAGGTGATAGCCTCATATTACATTTGCCCATCAGGAGACACCACAAAACGCACCAGTGATTCAGTTGATCATGTTCCTACCATTGTAAAGGTCAAAGAAGATAATACACCAAGTTTCAGGATGTCCAGAATTTCTTGTGAAATGATAGCCTCAGATCACTTTCATCCATCAGGAGACACCAGGACCAGGTGACTTAAAATGCACCAGTGACCAGCTGATCATGTTCCCACCATTGTCAAGGTCAAGAAAGATGGTGGACCAAGTTGCAGGGTGGTAGGAATTTTTTGTGAGGTGATAGACTGAGAACACCTCCTGCAGGAGACATTAAATCCAGATCACTCTAAATGCACTAGTGACTGTGCTGATTATGTTCCTACCGTTTTAAAGGCCAGAGAAGATGATAGGCTAGGTTTCAAGATGTCTGGAATTTTTTGTGAGGTGATAGCCTCAGATCACCTTTGCCCATCAGGAGACACTAGGACCAGGAGACTCAAAATGTACCAGTGATCAAGCCAACCATGTCCCCACCATTGTAAAGGTCAGAGAAGATGATAGGCTAGTTTTCAGGATGTCTAGAATTTTTTGTGAGGTGATAGCCTCAGATCACCTTCATCCATCAGGAGACACCAGGAGCAGATGACTTAAAATGCACCAGTGATCAAGCTGATCATGTCCCCACCATTGTAATGGTCAGAGAAGATGATACACCAATTTTCAGGATGTCTAGATTTTTTTGTGAGGTGATAGCTTCAGATCACCTTCACCCATCAGGAGACACCAGGAGCAGATGACTCAAAATGCACCAGTGATCAAGCTGATCATGTTCCCACCATTGTAATGGTCAGAGAAGATGATAGGCTAGCTTTCAAGATGTCTAATATTTTTGTGGGGTGATAGACTCAGATCATCTCCACCTATCAGGGAACATGGGAACCAGATCATCCTAGATGCACTGGTGATCACACTGATCATGTCCCTACTGTTTTAAAGGTCAAGAAATATGATGCACCAAGTATCAGGCTGGTAGGAATTTTTTGAGGTGATAGACTAAGAACACCTCCTGCCATCAGGAGACACTAAACCCAGATTACTCTAAATGTACTAGTGATTATGCTGACCATGTCCTTACCATTTTATAGGTCAAGAAAGATGGTGGACCAAGTTTCAGGATGTCTAGAATTTTTTGTGAGCTGATAGATTCAGATCACCCTCACTGATCAGGAGGCACCAGGACTAGATCATCTTGGATGCACCAGTGACCAAGCTGATTATGTTCCCACCATTGTAAAGGTCAGAGAAGACGATGGGCTAGTTTTCAAGATGTCTAGAATTTTTTGTGAGGTGATAGCCTCAGATCACCTTCATCCATCAGGAGACACCAGGAGCAGATGACTCGAAATGCACCAGTGATCAAGCTGATCATGTTCCCACCATTGTAATGGTCAGAGAAGATGATAGGCTAGCTTTCAAGATGTCTGAATTTTTTTGTGGGATGATAGACTCAGATCATCTCCACCTATTAGGGAACATGGGAACCAGATCATCCTGGATGCACTGGTGATCACACTGATAATGTCCCTGCTGTTTTAGAGGTCAAGAAATATGATGCACCAAGTTTCAGGATGGTAGGAATTTTTTGTGAGGTGACAGACTTAGGTCATCTCCAGTGATCAGGAGGCACCAGGACTAAATCATCTTGGATGCACTAGTGATCAGGCTGATAATGTTCCTACCACTTTAAAAGGCAGAGAACATGATAGGCTGGTTTTCAGGATCCCTACAATATTTGTGGGATGATAAACTCAGATCATCTCCACCCACCAGGAGACACTAGAGCCAGATCACTTTGGATGTACAAGTGACCAAGCTGACCATGTTCTCACCATTTTAAAGGTTAAAGAAGATAATGAACCAAGTTTCAGCATCATAGGAATTTTTGTGAGGTGATAAACTTAGGTGTCCTCCAGTGATCAGGAGGCACCAGGACTAGATCATCTTGGATGCACTAGTGAACAGGCTGATCATGTCCTTATCATTTTATAGGTCAGGAAAGATGGTGGACCAAGTTTCAGGATGTTTAGAATTTTTTGTGGGCTGAGACTTAGGTCACCTCCGGTCATCAGGAGGCATCAGGACTAAATCATCTTGGATGCACCAGTGACCAAGCTGATTATGTTCCTACCATTGTAAAGGTCAGAGAAGATGATAGGCTAGGTTTCAAGATGTCTGGAATTTTTTGTGAGGTGATAGCCTCAGATCACCTGTGCCCATCAGGAGACACCAGGACCAGGTGACTTAAAATGTGCCAATGATCTAGCCAACCATGTCCAGACTATCAGATGGGTCAGAAAAGATAACACACCAAGTTTCAGGATGTCTAGATTTTTTATGAGGTGATAGCTTTAGATCACCTTCACCTATCAGGAGACACCAGGAGCAGATGACTCAAAATGCACCAGTGATCAAGCTGATCATGTCCCCACCATTTGGAAGGTCAGACAAGACAATACACCAAGTTTCAGGATGTCTGGAATTTTTTGTAAGGTGATAGATTTAGGTCACTTCTGGTCATCAGGAGGCACCAGGACTAAATCATCTTAGATGCCCAGTGACCAAGCTGATTATGTTCCCACCATTGTCAAGGTCAGAGAAGATGATAGGCTAGGTTTCAAGATATCTGGAATTTTTTGTGAGGTGATAGACTGAGAACACCTCCTGCAGGAGACACCAAATCCAGATCACTCTAAATGCACTAGTGACTGTGCTGATTATGTTCCCACCATTGTAAAGGCCAGAGAATATGATAGGCTAGGTTTCAGATGTCTGGATGTGATAGGATAGGTATAGGTTAAGGATAGCCTCAGATCACCTTCATCCATCAGGAGACACCAGGAGCAGATGACTTAAAATGCACCAGTGATCAAGCTGATCATGTCCCCACCATTGTAATGGTCAGAGAAGATGATACACCAATTTTCAGGATGTCTAGATTTTTTTGTGAGGTGATAGCTTCAGATCACCTTCACCCATCAGGAGACACCAGGAGCAGATGACTCAAAATGCACCAGTGATCAAGCTGATCATGTCCCCACTATTTGGAAGGTCAGACATGATAATACACCAAGTTTCAGGATGTCTGGAATTTTTTGTAAGGTGATAGACTTAGGTCACCTCCAGTGATCAGGAGGCACCAGGACTAAATCATCTTGGATGCACCGGTGACCAAGCTGATTATGTTCCTACCATTGTAAAGGTCAAGAATGATGGTGCACCAAGTTTCAGAGCAGTAGGAATTTTTTGTGAGATCATAGACTGAGAACACCTCCTGCTATGAAGAGACACCAAACCCAGATTATGTACTGGCGAGTATACTGATGATGTCCCTACCATTTTAAAGGCCAGAGAACATGATAGGCTAGTTTTCAGGATCCGCAGAATTTTTTGTGAGGTGATAGACTCAGATCATCTCAACCCACCAGGAGACACCAGAGCCAGATCACTCTGGATGTACCAGTGACCAAGCTGATCATGTGCCCACCAGTTTAAAGGTCAGAGAAGATGATAAACCAAGTTTCAGGATCACAGGAATTTTTTTCATTGCTATAGTTCACCCCCTCCTCCTCTCACCTAGGGCAAATGTCTGAATGTGGTTATCATCAGATGGAGATACCAAATTTACCTGATTATAATACTTATAGACCTATATGCAAGTGATATAACTCCCTGTAGATGACATAATACCTGTTGAATATGGTCATGGAGTGGTATCACCTTCCAAACAGTAAAATGGACATAACTCATGTTCCTGACCACCAAATTTTATAAAAGTGAGTGGAACACAATCCCAGTAACACCCTCTATCAAATGAGATACTCATAAAACAATAAAAATGTGACATGTTTTATATAATATTCAGCCATACGGTGTATAGACATCCTCACCCTCTTCCTGCCAAGGACCAGTGATTCTACCAGTAAGCTCCCAAATCTGCCTCAACAGATCCACAGATTCCCTCCAAGTCATCTCTCCCATCCAGAGCCCTTGCCTGGCTATTTTCACCTGGTCCCAGCGAGGAGACTCTTGCAGGATGATGCTGATCGAGTTTATGACGGACAAGAACTCCTCGTACTCTACGTCTCGGGACAGAACGTCATACACCAAGTCAAGGGGTTTCTGCCAGTAGTCATTTCCTGCCAAGCATGCAGATGTTAGTAGGTAGAAGCGGCGATAGGCAATGGCAACGTCACCTTTGGCCATCCAGTCCCACTGACCCTTTGTCCAGTAGTGTGGAGGGGGATGGTGTCCCTCATGCCAGCGTTGTGGTAGCCGTGCGCCATCCTCATGCCGGGTGTAGAAGTATTTACTTTTCCTGTTCAACTCAGAATAGGCCTGCGGCTTGAGGATCGCGTGAAATTTCTCCTTGAACCCTTGGATCTCCCCTGCGATCCATGTCTGCAAGTCTTCCGGGGGCGCCATCATATCAAGGCCTTCATTTTCTACCGCCCAGTCACGCTCTGCATTCCCTTGGAGTGATGTAAAAATGGGACTGGATTTGATCAACTTACCGAAAAATGCTTTATTTTCCGTGCTGGTGGGGTCTGCGAGCAAGAATTCTTGTCCTTCACCGCTGGCCTCCCGGAAAGTCATGCCGAACCAGTCGCGGACGTGCCGGACCTTCCATTCGTCCAGAATGGGGACACGCTCCGCTCCAGGCTTTACGTCGTGACGCATAGCAACCAATTGATCCACCGCCATCAACCTCGCATGCATGTGAGTGACAAGCATCGTCCCAGAGTTCTGTCGGCAAACTGTGGCCATCCGCATCTGCTTAGCCGTACCCTTCTTACACTCGTCGTTCCAAAGCTTCCAGACGGTGGCATATGCCACCACGTTGTAGCACAGCTCGAGCCACAAGTCCTTGTACCTGAAGGGCAATGGTACGTACCCGAACACCTGCCCATCCTGTTTCACAGGCACCCTGCACATAGTGTACGCCTTCTTATCATCCGGATCGATGACCTGCAAGTCCTCTGGGGCCCCATAGGTCAGGTGGAGTGTGTGGTTCACGAGGAAGTCTTCCGGCACTGCCTCTGCGCGGTTTATCGGGATTGAGAATGACGAGATCGCCTGCGCGAGTTCTTTTGGTGGCCTTGGCAGCGGCCTGGATCTGGCGCCCATGACAGCAGCGGCGCGCTTCCTGATGCTGGAGCTGCCCTTGGACTTTTTCGTTTTGGTGCTGCGAGGAGAACGCGATATGCTAGAGGCTGTGTGCTTGGTGCGTGCCATAACTGTGTGCGATGAAAGGGGTAGATCGTCGATGAAAAGATGTTAAAGAAGCAGCTGTTATAGGGCAAAAACGCACGGTGTTTGGCTTTGTTTGGCTGATGTTGAATTTAATACATGAGCTCGAAGTTCAGTGCCCAACGCCCAAGCCCAACGCCCAACCTCATGACCAAAATTCAGAATACCCGGAATAAATAGAAGTAAATACAAAGTAAACCCTACAAATAATAAAATGAACCTAACCTAAGCGAATCTTATCGATAACTAACTATATACAATAGGGGGCGCTCAAAGCTGAACGTCCAAGCGAACGCGCGGATCAAACGCCAAACATGACGGGTTTGATTTTCTCCATCTCCTCGCAGAACCAAATGAATGCCTCGATGCAATTGTTGTATCTGCCTTCTTCAGCGTTCTCTTGAACTACCCAAGCCAAGAACTCGTCGAATGTCGAGAGCCTTCCTCCTGCACCGATACCCTGGATCATAAGGTCCCTGAGCCCCGGCACCTGCCACACGCAGTAGACGGCCTTGAAGATAAAGCCACTGAAGGGGCACCTGCTCCCTTTCTCCCACAGGAACTCGGCGTGGCATGCGGGCTCCTCTCCATTGCGATTCCGCGACTGGGGCATGCCGCAGTGGAAACAATACGTGTAGGGAGCGAAGACGAAAATGCGTTTGAACCTGCCGTAGTCATCCATCGGCACGTCGTGTTTCGCCAGGCAGACGTGCAGCTCTGTGGAGTGCAGTTCGCCTCTAACCGCAAACTCGACGGGGCACATGTCTCTCAAGACCCGCATATACTTGTCGAGACGGGAGGAGCGTTGAAGACGACTGGTGCGTGCAGCATCCACTCTCCTTGCTCTTGAGATGAAGCCACGGGACTCAATTTCGCTGGGAAGCGAGGAAGGAGGCGGTAGTTCTACCCTGGAGGTGATTCTCGCAGGTGGCTGCGACGACGACTTTCGAACACCATTAGCACAGTTTGACAGGAGCGATGCAAAGACGACCATACCTGGTATGGTCTAGGCTGTGCTCCTGAGGCACGCTGTACAAGGTCCTTCATCAGCTCCAGCAAGGCATATGTATATCGCATGGAACCCAGTCACCTTTCCATGAATGACCTCCATGGCATCCAGCACCAGAGCTTGAGATGATGTGATCTCCGACTCACAGTCATACAGGGAATCGCTGTTCTGGGTCGACGGCTGTGGTAAAGGCATCGACATGGCGCAAGATCATGGGATAGAGTAGCACTCACGCTGACATCCGTGGGCATTTGAAGCGAAGAACCGACCTGCACAAACGCGGGAGGCATCGGCTGCGCAGCACTAGGTCCGTCCTGCGAAGCAGAGCCTGACCCAACGGCTGCCGAGCTTGTTTGCACAGGGGCATCCAATTCCCTGAAAGGGTTGTCCAACGCTTTCCGGATCAACAGCTGCATGGCGCTGTTGGGGGCACATATGTCGCAAGGGACTCCACGAGGAGGATCAGTGCACCGCAATGCGAGCTGCTCACCATCCATGCAGAGACCGTTGGTGTATCGCCTACATTCCGTGCCAAACATTACGTCGTCCAATTCTGCCAGGCAATGGTCTGATGCATGCTTCGCCTTGCTAGGTAGCGACTTTCCATGCTTGTCAGTGACATAGAACACATGAGATTCTCTGCCGTCGCGACCTGCGCGACCCATCATCTGGTTGTTGACGATAAGTCCATACGCAGGCCTGAATATCACCACATATCGGACGTTGGATCTGTCCATACCCTGAGCGAAAGCTGTGGTGCACGCCATCACCTTCGATTCGCCTCGGTCCCACAGGTCGAGGTTGTACGCCTTCGTGTTGCCAGGCTGCCAGAGCTCGCTGTGATACATAGCGCACCTAGCCTTTCTTCCAAATTCTTCTGTCTCAGCTGTGGAGCTAAAGAACACCAGCATGCGGTCTTCGTCTCCCAGAAGTAGAGATAGAGTATGAACGAGGTGATGCAGGGATTCCCTTGCCGCAATGGGTTCCACGCGTGCGACGTGCATGCCGATCTCCGGACGGTTTGTCGCAAACCTGACTTCGTTGATGTCATGCAGCAGGATCCCGAATGGCTTGACATAGCTCCCCACCCGGTGAGGAGGTATGGTCCCCGACATGAGAATCATTTGCACCGACGCCGCACTGAATTGGCGAGCAAGAGTGAGCCATTTTGACGCGCGATCTGGATGGCAGTTGAGCACGTCGTGGAACTCATCTACATAGAATCTGGTAAACTTCTTCCCGAGGGGGGACACCAGGAGACTGAGGACGTCATGTGAGTAGCTGTGGCGGCAGGATAAGAGAGGTTCTGTTACCTAGCAAAGGCTTGAGACGAACAATTTTCCACCTGCACGAAGAGCACCTGGACGTTTTCAGGCACATCTTTGCGCGCAGTATAGTCGTGGCAACGTAGTCCAGTGGCGGCGGTCTTCATATACTGTTCTTGGAGCAATGCGACGAACGGACAGACCACGATGCATTTTTCAGCCTCGTCTAGCACCGGCGGAACCATCCATAACATGCTCTTGCCTCCTCCAGTCTTCATGGTGATGACGAGGTCGTGAGTTTCAGTCATGATGGCAACGAGCGCATCCATCTGGTCGCGACTCTTTTCTGCAGCGGTAGGATCCTTCATGATCTGTCTGATCGCTCCTCGGATGCTGTTTCTCATCTCCTGAACGACGGGCGGTGGTGACGAAGACAGACCGCTATCAGGGACGATGAAGCTGGAGAGGTCGTCATCGCTGGTTAGGCTGATGGTCTCCATCTGAACGTCTGGAGCTGCGGTGCTGGGGCGACGAAGACGCTTGAGCTTCCTAGGCGCTTCCTCATCATCATCATCCGGCTCGCTGATATGCTGAGGGCGATGATGTTTGCGGTATGCCATCGGCGCTACTGCAGGTGAACTCGATAGGGACAATACAGAGGAATGGGCCTGGGTGATGCTGACGTCTCTGGCTTTTCCCTTGGAAGCATAGGCGATGGTCCTCGACGGTCCAGGCTTGCCAGTGGGTGTGAATAGCGATTCAACAGCCTGCACCTTAGCCTTCCCTGTTGAAGGATCTATGATGGAGGCGAATGAAGGCGGCCGGTCAAAAGCATGCACTGCTGTCGCCACAGCGGGTGAACTCGACAGGGCTGATGCGGTGGAATGGGGCTGTTTAATACTTTCGTCTCTGGCTTTCGCCTTGGAAGCATTGACGACGGTCCTAGACGGCCCATGCTTGCCAGCGAGTGTAAACGGCGGCGGGTGTTCAATAGCCTGCGCCCTGGACCTCCCTTTCGAAGAATTCATGACGGTGGTGAATGACGGAGGCTGGTCGAAGGCATGGGCTGTAGCCTTCCACTTGGCGGTGGCGGTGGTTGGCGAGGACTGATCCGCATCAATAGCTCTAGCCTTCCCCTTCCATGCCCTCACCGCGGGTAATTCTCCCAGATCGCTAGGTAATGAGGCGTTAGCCATAGGGGCAGGGGTGGCTGGTGGAGGCTGGCCGACATCATAGGCTCCAGCTGTCCCCTTCGATTTCCTGACCGTGAACATTTCTTCCTGATCGCTGGTGGGCACAATGTCGGGGGAGGGGCCGGGGTCCGGCAATAATAAGTCCGGTGATATTAAATGGGAGACGGCGGCAGCAGAAGAGGGTGGAAGGGGAGAGTCTGAAAGCAAACGTCCCAATTCACTGCGCGGCGACTTTGCTGCGGTAGCATTCCCTGCAGGCGATTGAGACAGAAGCATTCCAAGGCATCTGTGGTGGTGCTCACCTGTCCCGTCCTGGAAGAACAAATCCGAGGTATTAAATTCCAGATCCATGGCAGGCGGCGCCCAGCCGCTAGACAAACTGAGTCCGGTGGGATCGTTACTTTTCTGGTGTTCTTGCAAGCTCGCAGAGACGGCGTGTTGGATGAGGGTCTTTATGTCGTCGTTGAAAAATGAGGTGAGAACGCCAGTCATGGTCTTTACGACTTGGTCAGAGATGGACTCGAAGTCGACCCCTCGCGTCGCTCTCGCGATTTCCGCACGACGCAATCGAACCGGTTGTTGAGGCGGCGAGGAACCGAGACCGAGGAAGATGTGCCATTCGTTCGACACCCATCTTTGCTGGATTATCGTGTTGTTCGACAATCTCGGTACTGATCCATGGACGATGCCGTAGTGTGCGTGGTCCGTATTAGTGGAATGATCCGCGGACTCGGCCAGAATGCTGTCAGCTTCTGCATACGACTCGTTGGGAGAGATGAATTCACGACCCATTGTGATCGTGCCTTGGCGGAAATCTCTCAATCCCCATCGACATTCGAAGTATTCATAGTTCATGTGCTGAACGTTCGCAGAGAACCTTGCCGGGCTGATTCTCTTCCCATCCCCGACACAGAGGTAGCTGGAATGCAAGAATGCAGTCAGAATGATGACCCGAGGGCCAGAGGATGCTTACGTTCTGTAGAGATGCTCTGCATCCTTGCCATACACAATCCCTGCCAGGATGGCCTCAGCGGTCCGTAGCCCCCCTCCCAAGAATTCAAGAATCCAGAAGGCGATATCTTTGGGCACAAACCCTGGGGTGCACGAGTCTCGATCGGTGATGCTCGTTTTCTTACTGTATCCGGTCAGAAGGAACATCTCGGCTCCTTGCATAAATAGATTCCTGTGTCGGTCAGCATTGGAGATTTGATGATCAATAAATTGAGTTCCGCGCGAAGAAATGTGGGTCGTGATGTAGAGCAAATGGTATGCCGGCTCCCAGATGCGCAGGGTGCGTCTCAGCAGTTCCTTGACTGCAGGTATGTTCCATGCGATGCGACCCGCGTTGTCCACCATAGCAAGGTTATACTGCTCCACCAAGAAGAGAAGGAGAGAATGGCGCTTCTCGAAAAACGGGTTCTCCGATATAAAAGAGTAGCCCCTCGTGGTGTTTGTGAGATCATCCTTCACCTGATCTGGCATCTTGGTCATCACGTTGTTGCTTTGCGTAAGGGCCCTGTAGCGTGACTTCATGTCCTGTGCTAGATGCTGGATGCCCTCTCACAGCTTGTCCAGGTGCATCGTTTCCACCCCGATGGTGATCCATTTGAAGTCTGGATCGACGAACACTTTGGCCTCCTGCGTTTGATTGAACGCCAGAGATGATGCATACTGCTGCATTTCATAAATCATATTGAATGACGTAGGGCGACCCAGCGACAGCGCTTTCTCGTGTACACGAGCGACGCGCCTGGTGAAGCCATGCGGGTTCAGTTTTTAAGTAGAGAGTAAACGTCACGAGTCGCTCACTCGAAGTCATCTGGATGCACGCCGTCTGTATCCTGGTCTTTGTCCAACAATGCTTGCAGGATCGCGACCAAATTGCAAAAGTACTTCCATTTTGCGAGGTCGGGAGTGAGATCCGTGGCTTCATAGAAATTTCCATCCGCGCGCAATGCCTTGAGCCAGATGGCTCTCTGAATAGGGTTTGCCCACGATGCATCGCACTGCGTCGGGTCGGCATCGACGAGGGACCAAGCCAGATTGTGGTAGGAAATCATCCTGCTGCGACGCGAGGCATGGGGATCCTGCAAGAGCATTATCAGCTCCTCCAGGAGACGGGTTTGCTCTTCGGAAAGGGAGAATGAGAATTTAAGAGGGCAATCTAAGTGAAGGCGAATCATGCATCGGACGAATTGTATAATATGATTGGGATAGTTCTTGTTTGATTCTGCGACCGGCTTCCAATATGTATCCCTGTGGACGGACGGAAGGAGGGTCAGCAAAGATGATCCCAAGCGGTGGTGAAATAACTCGCGTCTCTCGGGGTATGTTTTTGCCGTGCACCAAGATTTTGCTTAGGCTGAGCTTCTGGGGATGACCATCCAAGATAGTCGCTGCTTTGTGGAAATGATCGTCTACCGTCTCAGCGAGTCGGGTGAGGATGCCATCGTGTTCCTTGTCAGCGTGCTGCTTCTTGATTTCTTGTGCCGCTCGTCTCTGCGCGGGGTTCATGCGGGTTTCTGTCATGAACGTGTCCCAGGCCATGCAGCGGACAAGCGGGGTGCGTTCTCGTTCCGTGTCAGCGGGAACGACCAAGGGAGCATCCAATCCAGGCAAGAACGTTTCTTTGAGCCTGTCTTTGAGCTGAGGTCTGGCTCCTGGAAGAAGGTCGTTTGAGATCTCGAAATATGAGCCTCTGACCCCAGTGAAAATCCGTTGAACGAGGCATGCTCGATGTCGAACGTTTGCTAAGGGCTCCGTCTTGTGCTTCTCCCTGCAGTGCCTTTGCATGGTTGGCAAGTCCTTGACAGAGTAGGTGCAGTCAGTTGACATAACACATGCATAACCGGCGGTGGGGGGACTGATGAGCTGAATGGGAGGTCCTCCAGCACTTGGTAGCTTGACGCACTCGGGTTTTTCGTAAATCTCGGCTTCGGAGCAGAAAGCCAAGAAAGCCTGTTGAACAGCTGTAGAAGGCACCTGTTACGTGTCGTGGTTTAGAGTCAGTGAGTTCGAGGCGTGCATGACCGATGGACATGCCTCGTACGAATGTTGATGTTTCTTTCTGTGACCGACCACCATCCCAGAGGTCAATGGCGCTTGGCACGTATAGCATATCAGTATTTTCAGCTCCACATGCACACAGACCCCCAGCGCATCAAGAGCCTCGTTCGACTTCAAGTAGTCCACCGACGGCAGGAGTTTAACCGTGTCAGAATCGACAGGAGACCCATCGTCGACTGGACGTATATCATTAACATGCTTGAGATTGATCGATGCCGCCATTCTCACCTGTGGGAATAATCCCCTGAGGGGACGGAGTCCCTGGCACAAGAGCTTGCGCTGAGACATCACGGTCTTGGTCCATCGCTGAGCACAAAACGGCACGGGTCAATACAAGGCGATCATTAGCAGCTGTCCGACGATGCTCACGAGTATCACGAGTGTCAAAGACCTTGATGGAGACGCCGCCGTTGTGGTCAGCGATGACGTGCTTCTGCATGTCGTCGCGCTTCCTCAATTCTTTGTCACACCCAGGCAATGGGCAGGCATAGTGAGTGTCGGATTGTGCCACGATGTACTCGCGTCCCCCGATGATGAAGGAAGCAGGGAAGGAGTGATAGCGCCATTTGTGTTTTCGGGCCTCTTCATTGGTGTATGGGCCGCCTTCGCAGTCAGGAAATTCACAGTATTTGGACATCTATATGGCGAGCAGAGGATATGCAGATATAGGTATGTCTGGTGCTGTATAGTTGGTGGTCGGAAGCTTTGAGCACATGCAGTCTTATACAATTTCCTGCGACGATCAACAATCCTAAACCTGCAGGGATGTAGCATAATGCGACTGCGACAGGCTGAAAAAAAAAAAAAAAAAAAAAGAAACACACCCAAAGAAAAAGAATGAAAAAAAACGACAGTTAGTGGTCAGAGGAATGGAGGGACGGACCCTTCAACCTTAAGATGAGCATATATGGTGCGTAGATCAGCAAATCGAAGCACCCCTGGTCACGCTTAACATTAAAAATGGAGGGACGGAGCCATTTGGAGCGATCGCTGCCTACATTAAAAATGTCGCACCAATACAAAGGTTTGCGGAGCATTAAATCCAAGAGCCCATCGCATTCATACACAGGACCCAAATAGCTTCAGTTCAGTACGTCCGAGCGCCCTATTTCGGAGCATAATCCAGACTTAGACATTTGCTTGTGCCAAACAGGCTTGGAAGCGTGCTGGCCGTCGGCCCTGCTGCAGGTTCAAACCAGGGATTAACATACGGAGCCCGAATGGGACTGTCGAACAACAAAATAGGAACGCGGATCAACAAACGCAAGTGCCCTGGCTTGGGAGAAGATACATTTACCGGTTGCAAAACGGGTTTGGCACCATGGCGTCCATTCCCTGCCAACAGGAAAAAGGCTGTGGCATTGTTTTTCCTCCGTCAGGGGTTGGGTTTTCGGCCATCCGATTTATTCGGATATGTGATGTGCTGTAATGCACCGCACCTTAGTTTTCTTTTTGACTTACTCAACCCCACAACGACCACAGCACTCAGTCTACTGGTAAGAGTATCGATCAATCTCTGATGCCCCAACCAAATCGCACTTGCAGGATGATATTTCGATGGGTTCGTTGAGCTCTATACGACCTCAGGATGACATGAGAAACGCCCAACAGATGCATAGCGAGGACGACCGCACTGCATGCATTATGTCATGTTTGGCCATGTGTATTCTTGGTTTATCTTTGCAACTTTCTCTCCTTGTGCTCCAACCATCATGTAGACGTCTCTCTGTATGGAGAGACGCGCTTCTGTCTTACTTCAAGAAGTCTGCATGATGGGGTCACTCCCCCTCTTTCTGTACATGAGAGAGTTTCTGGGCTGTACATGCCTGGTTGGGTGTTGGCTGGATCAGCTATTTTCCTCTATGTGCTCCAACTGTCATGTAGACGTCTCTCTGTATGGAGAGACGCGCTTCTGTCTTACTTCAAGAAGTCTGCATGATGGGGTCACTCCCCCTCTTTCTGTACATGAGAGAGTTTCTGGGCTGTACATGCCTGGTTGGGTGTTGGCTGGATCAGCTATTTTCCTTTATGTACTCCAACTGTCATGTAGACGTCTCTCTGTATGGAGAGATGTGCTTCTGTTGTACTTCAAGAAGCTCTACATGATGGGGTCGCTCCCCCCTCTTTCTGTACACGAGAGTCTCTGGGCTGTACATGCCTGGTTGGGTGTTGGCTGGATTTGTTTTCGCATTTCCCTGTCTTTCTGATGCTCTCTTGTCGAGCGATCCTTCGATGAAGGCCAGGTAAATTGTTTTTGCTTTTGTGACGTTGCTGACATGTAAGGTGACTCTATCTACGTCCGCAGTGAGGCACGGGGGTCTCAGGAATCTGCATCCCTCGCGATCATGGATTGTTGTCGCTTTTTGAGGTGCCGACCAGTGAGTTTGTCTAACTTTTGACTTCATCACCCATCAATAATGCGACCTTGAAGGCTGGGCAGAGTATTTTCGCTCTTTTGAGGCATCGGGCATGCAACAGCATGTCAGGACGACGTCAAATTCCTTTCCGTCTCTTCGCAACCACTCATTCCGACTTTCTGTCCCTTAGCGCGACCTTTTGCTGAATTCACCTGCAGCTCGCTGTACGCGAAGTGTGATTGGAAATGGTTCTGTGATTATGCCCGTAGAGTATGTAGCAATACACCTATGTAATTATTACCAGGTAAATACAGAAAATGAGGGGTGAGCAGGCATTGCAGCTGTATCACAAGGTTTAGGCATGCAAAATAAGCGACATCAGTGCGATGTTGGATGCCCTTGATGCCTGATGCCAGTGACTCTATATGTTGCTGCACAGTGATGAGACGAAGATGAGGTCGAGTCATACGATGAAACCGGGGTAAGAACGGTAAGAACGCGGCCCATCTCGCATGACAGGGGGGGATGGACATGAATGTGGAAGAGGTGACGGCAAGGGGGGACGGCCATAAAGGGACGGGGACGGCCATGAAGGAAAGGGGGACGGCCATAAAGGGACGGGGACGGCCATAAAGGGACGGGGACGGCCATAAAGGGACGGGGACGGCCATAAAGGGACGGGGACGGTTGCATAAGGGGGGGGGACGGATGCAAATGCAGAAGAGGTGACGGCAAGGGGGACGGCCATAAAGGGAGGGGGACGGCCATAAAGGGACGGGGACGCTCCCACGACGGAGAAAGCACGGATTTCGATCGAAAGAAGGGCGGAGGCCCCAAAAAAGGACCGTGCGAAGGGGGACGGGGGGACGCTTACATGAGAATCGTCCCAATAAGGCAGGAGGGGGACGGGGACGTTTGCACCCCTGCAGACGGACAGCACATATAGATAGCGCATTTTTGCTTATATAAGCAGTCCCACTGTCATGCTGCCTCCCCCCAAGATTGATTTCCCCAGCCTTCATATGACTCGTCTGTGTTTGACTAGAACTTGTTCTTGAAGCCATTGAACCATATGAACATGCTGGACATGTCTTCTTGGTCCATAAAAATCAAGTTCCAAAGTTGAGTTGAGTCCACTGCCCCTATCTTGCTGCCTCCCCTCAAGATTGATTTCTTTGGCCCTCATATCGCTTGCTGGGGTTCCTGCAGCACTTGTTCCCAAGGCTATTGAGCCCTCTGAACGAGCTGGCAATGCTCGATTGGTCCAAAAAAATCAGGTTCCAAAGTTGACCACCCCTGTCATGCTGCCTCACCCAAAGATCGATTTTTTCAGCCTTCATATGGCTTGCTTGTCTTTAGGTAGGACTCGTTCCAGAGGTTATTGGACCATACAAACACGTTGGTGATGCCAGATTTGCCTCTAAAAATCATGTTCCAAAGTTGACCACCACCCCTATCATGCTCCCCCACCCAAAGATCGATTTTTTCAGCCTTCATATGGCTTGCTTGGCTGTAGCTAGGACTCATTCTAGAGGTTATTTGACCATCTGAACACGTTGGTCGAGCCGGATTTCACTCTAAAAATCATGTTCCAAAGTTGTCCACCCATGCCATGCTCCCCCACCCAAAGATCGATTTTTTCAGCCTTCATATGACTTGCTTGGCTTTAGGTAGGACTCATTCTAGAGGTTATTTGACCATACAAACACGTTGGTCGTGCCAGATTTCGCTCTAAAAATCATGTTCCAAAGTTGTCCACCCATGCCATGCTCCCCCACCCAAAGATCGATTTTTTCAGCCTTCATATGACTTGCTTGGCTTTAGGTAGGACTCATTCTAGAGGTTATTGGACCATACAAACACGTTGGTCGTGCCAGATTTCGCTCTAAAAATCATGTTCCAAAGTTGGCTGCCCCTGTCATCCCCCCCCCACCCAAAGATCGATTTTTTCAGCCTTCATATGGCTTGCTTGGCTTTAGGTAGGACTCATTCTAGAGGTTATTTGACCATCTGAACACGTTGGTCGAGCCGGATTTCGCTCTAAAAATCATGTTCCAAAGTTGGCCACCCAAGTCATGCTGCCCCACCCAAAGATCGATTTTTCTAGACTTCATATGACTAGCCTGTCCTTCAAAAGCATTTTTCCTGGGGGCTATTGAGCCCTCTGAACACGATGGTAAAGCCAGAATTGCCTGGAAAAATCGTGTTCCTGAGATATACAAGGTCCTCCTCCTCCTCCTGACCTCATGTATGTCACTATCCCGGTATTCCACCTCAATACCGATACTGCAAACATTGCTCCTAAGGTATTTGAGGCCTTTGAATCGATTGGGAATGGTCCCAGACCTTCCAGAGGTCAGCATTATCGTGATATGGGAGGTTGGCTCAAATATCAGTATTTTGGACATATCTCCACGATCCAACCGCCGTTTTTCTTAATTGTTGGCTCATATCCATCCTATCGATACCCTCTATGATATGTACCAGCCCGTCAAAAGATATTTTTTCACAAGTTTGAAACCTATTTCTATTTTGACCCTATAAATATGGTAGTCGCGGCTGACCGCAACTTCCCGATATGGTAGTTGCGGCTGACCGCAACTTCCCAATATGGTAGTTGCGGCCGACCGCAACTTCCTGATATGGTAGTTGCGGCCGACCTTTGCTTACTTGCGACCGACTCATTACCTTACTTGCGGCTGGTAGTATAGCCCTAGTGTCTTTATATACATATGTTTTTTCACACCACTATTTTTATATGTAGTTCTTTACTGGCTACAACTTTGCTTTCCACTTTTTTTGTGAAATAAGCCGTCGACAGCTTATTTTTCACTCCTATTGCTTGCTTGCTTGCCGCCGACCTTTGCTTACTTGCGGCCAACCTATCCTTACTTGCGGCCGACCATTCCTTACTTGCGGCCGACATGCTTACTTGCGGCCGACTTGCGGCCGACCGCAACTTCCCGATATGGTAGTTGCGGTCGGAGTATGCCCCATACTCCGAGGATTAGATTATTAGGGATGAACCTCGTACATTCATGGTACGCGTCTGTTCAATGTTTGTACCTTGACTTATCATCAGGGCCCAGTCCGAGGCCAGGGCCCACTGCAATATTGCTTTTGGAGAACTCGTCGCGAACTTTCCGGAGGAACATATCGCCAGTCAAATCGATACCCTCATTCCCGTACTAACGAATCTCTTGCATGACGTGCCACGCGTGGACTTTGACCAATGTCTCTCATGGGATGGTGTGTCATCTCTCCTATGCCGTCTTCCGCGTCCCTGACCTCCATTAGAGTGGGCCCTCCCTGACCAGCTGGTATTCTCCACTGTTTCTGCCCTGTTACGTATCTGCGGCGCACACCCAGAATACGCAGACAAAGCCGTCGCCTCTATCATTAATTTCGTCACTGACATCGTGGAGAACCTCAAGGAATCCAGCTGTAAGGTCCATTTAACCTTCAGCGCAGGCCTTCTAACATCCTCCCAGCCATAGATGTGCTTTCACACCTTACTCCTTCTATCCATGGATTGTACCGTGCTATAACCTCCACTCTTTACCCTTGGACAGCCTCTCAATGGCGCCTTCTTTCTGCCTCCCTCCAGTCCCTAATCGCAACTCCCGTCCTTGAACGAATAAACCGTCTCCTACTTGACATACACCAAGAAGCCGAGGCCGATCCCGACCTCGACCCTACCTCCATCGCCTTCTGCCATACCTTCATCTCTCGATACATTGCGCTTGGACGCCCACTAAGCGGGTACTTCATCGTGTGCTGTGTCATGGAGATGCAATGGACTGTGCTCGCGCAAGCTCTTGCAAGCACTCCTTTGGTGCACAAGGGCCAAGTGCGCGAAGCCGCCGCGGCGAACAAAGCCTGGGTGAACCTAATGAAATGCCCTGCGAAGGATTTGGGATTAGAGGACGAAGAGGAGACGAAGCAAGCATTGAGGTATATCGTTAGAGATGCCCTGCAGTGCTTTAGTGATCTGCTGGAGCAGATTGAGGGTATGGAAACTCAACCTCCAGTTGATACGTATGCATGGGAGACCATGTCCGAGAGTCTGGTATGTTTTCCTCGTACTTCAATCAGTGACATCTGACCTGTTTTTCATGAATAGAAACTAGCATCTGTCTGCTCGGTTGCGCTTC